TCTGCAATCTGAAAAATGATGTATCATCAAACTTTCTTAATCATCACAATAATCTGTCGGAAAGAACCAGGTATAGTTCGGGCAACACCAGAGGGGCTTGGCTGCTAGAAACAAGGCAAGTGCAGCATGTGTTCGCCCCGAGGAAAGGAGCCACATTAATCAGTCAGCGAAAGGACCCAAGGCAGTGTACAGACGTGTGTATTTTAAGAAAAATTGACAGATAGGCTTCAAAGCAGCCAAAGCACTGAACTCCCCACATGCTATTAGTCCCACTCTAACTTCTGTTCTCTCTCGCGATCCAAAAGGCAGTTACAGACTGACCCTCACTAGGTTATCACTGAGGCTAATACAGCATAGTTAAAAACTATACCTGCAAAAGTTTCAAAGAGGAAGAAAAAAAAATACCTCTGAAGAATGACACAAAAGTCTATGGAAGTTGACTATCTGTTATGGGAAAATGTGGCTCATTTTTGCCTTTTATTGCCTGTTCTTCTAACTTCCTGAACCAGTAATGAATAAGAATCTAAAGAAAAAGAAATGTCTTCTTTTAAAGAGGAATTATGTTTTATATCTCACTAGGCTCAACATGTATTTCTAATGTGCAGTCTGTCTCAGAAGAAGAATGTCAGGCTTTTAAGAAGATTTATTGAGGAAAAGGCATGTATGTGCATGTGAACATGTGTGTGTGTGTGTTTATGTGTGTATCTGTGTGTGTGAGAGAGAGCACAGGTGAACGAGGAAATATGCATCCTGGAATAATAATGAATACCAAATGTGATTCTCTCCTTAGAGCGAGGTTGTCGATTCAACTAGAGCTGTTCCTAAACCATGTAACATTTCTTTCTGAAGTCCTCAATCCACCAAACATAATTCATGTTAACTGGGGCTGTTTCAACATGGAACCATGGAAGGACACTCAGAGCATTGTGAGGGAATTCTAGTTTTTTTTAGCTTAGGACCTTTGGGAGTGGTGCAACATGGCAGGAATCTTTAGGGCAGCTCTGTGTGAACAGAATAATGGAATATCAGTGTCTTCTGTCACTCATAAAGTCTCACCCTTGACACTTAAACTTCCAAACCACATCCCTGACTTCTGAATTGAATACATGACCCTCAAGTGACTTCCCTTAGGAAAATTATTCTCATCAACATCTTTGGAGAAAGTACAATGAAGGGAAGTTACCTGCTATAATACTCTACTTAGAAGTGAGATGAGACCTCTTATTAGGCACAATCTGCATAATTCATACATTTACTAAATGCTTAAGATGCCTACATCCTACATTTTAGTTTGCTGGCTCTGTCTCCTGGATATGTTTGCCGACTCTGGCTCCTGACTGCAGCCTCCAGGCAATGTGAAACCTGGGAGGTAATAATTTTAGTAGTTCAGTCCCTGCTACCCTATGACAAACTTAGACTGAATTGTCATGTCTCCACTTCAGCCCCAACCTCGCAAAGCTATTGTAGACATTTGAACCAGTGGATAAAAGTGCTCTCATTCTCTCTCTCTCTCTCTCTCTCTCTCTCTCTCTCTCTATGTCAGATACATTTTTTAAAAAGAAAGTTCCATAAATTCATATTGAGAGGAACTTCTCTAGACTCACAACTCTAGAAGTGAAGGAACCCCACAGGGGATTTAGCATCTTCCATAGAGAAGAAACTCCAAGAGGATTGTAACCCATCATGTGGATACTGCTAACACACTACAAGTGAATTTCCAGCAATTCTGAGATACTGCCTGAAAATAGAAGTTTCCTTTGTCTAGATTTGTCTCCAAAAGCTCATCACATGCAGCCTTTGAGCTCCCTGGTCTCATGGTATACAACATTGGTGACCTTCAAGTCCACTCACTCTCACACACTTGTACAATGCATCTCAGACCCCCGCATCACTCAGAACCACATTTCCTCTAAGAAGCTTGGCTATCCATCACTTCTCCCACTCTGTCATTTCTTCCATACTTACTATCCTACTTTCTTCTTCATCAAAATTTTTACTTTTTTAATCACTCACTTTTCCCCCAATTTTCCATTGCTAGTTATACTTTTTCTTAATGCCAGATAAGGCTCAATATCATAGGCAACCATGTCAAGCATAACATAGTTTGAGGCTGTGTGGTATAGTGTTTGGGGGCAGGCCTTCCGGAATCAGAGTGCCTGAAGCTAAACCCAATCTCAACCACTAGAATTAACTGTATATCTGATCATATCACCCACCGAATTAAAATCTACAGCAGCCTCCATATTGAATTCTTAGTGTCTAACACATTGTTTGGCACATTCAAGGATTTATTACCTTCCTTGGGCAAGAGATTTGATTTCTGTGCCTTGGTCTATCCATCAGAAGGAAGGCAATAAATCCTCCAGAGTGCGAGATACTGTGGTAAACACTAAGAATTCAGTATGGAAGCTATTAAAGATTTTAAGTAGATGAGTGATACAATCAGATATATCCTATTTCTATGGTCAGATATATGACCTTCAGATGATTTATTAATCTCTCTATATTTAGGTTCCCTCAACCTTAAAATGAAGATAATGATAGTTCCTCCTTCATAGAATCAATGAGCATATCAAATGAGTTAATAATAGCAAGCTATAAGCAAATCTTTGCCGTTAATAGCAGCAACATACACTCATGATATAAATCCTTGTAACACTGCAAATATCTTTAAAATTAAATTTATATCTTTAAGTGACTAATTTATTCACTGAATTCTCACAACCCATTTTTCAGCATTCACTCATTCGCAGAAATATTTAATAAATTACTCATAAATGGGAGGCCATTATTAGGTAGTAGTGTTAAGGTAAAATACATGTGGTTTCTTATTGACCTATAAGACATTTTAAAATACTGAGCAGCCATCTGCATGAATGTATGTATCAGCTTCTCTCCTTGGTTGGCTTTCAGGATGCTATAACTTTTTTATTAAGATTTATTTATCGGCCGGTGCCGCGGCTCACTAGGCTAATCCTCTGCCTTGCGGCGCCGGCACACCGGATTCTAGTCCCGGTCGGGGCACCGGATTCTGTCCCAGTTGCCCCTCTTCCAGGCCAGCTCTCTGCTCTGGCCAAGGAGTGCAGTGGAGGATGGCCCAAGTGCTTGGGCCCTGCACCCCATGGGAGACCAGGATAAATACCTGGCTCCTGCCTTCGGATCAGCGCAGTGCGCCGGCCACAGCGCGCTGGCCGCGGTGGCCATTGGAGGGTGAACCAACGGCAAAGGAAGACCTTTCTCTCTGTATCTCTCTCTCACTGTCCACTCTGCCTGTCAAAAAATAAATAAATAAATAAATAAATGAAAAGATTTATTTATTTTATTTGAAAGTCAGAGTTATACAGAGAGAGAATGGGAGGCAGGGAAAGAGAGGGAGAGAGAGAGAGAGAAAGTCTTCCATCCTCTGGTTCACTCCCCAGTCAGCTGTAATGGCCTGAGCTGCGCCGACCCGAAGCCGGAGCCAGGAGCCTTCTCCTGGTCTCCCACGCAGGTTCAGGGGCCTAAGGATTCAAGCCATCTTCTATTGCTTTCCAGGGCATACCAGAGCAGCCGGGACCGAAACCATTGCCCATATGGGATGCCGGCACTGCAGGTGGCGACTTTACCCACTATGCCACAGCGTCAACCCCTGATGCTATGTTCTTTTGATTCATTTATTTCTCTGACCTTCCTTCCAGTTCTCTTCTGTAACCCCACTTTCTCACAACTTTTTTTTTTAATTTTTTATTATTTATTTGACAGGTAGAATTATAGACAGAGAGAGAGACAGAGAGAAATGTCTTCCTTCCGTTGGTTCACTCCCCAAATAGCCACCAGGGCCGGCGCTGCTCCGATCAGAAGCCAGGAGCCAGGTGCCTCCCCCTGGTCTCCCATGCGGGTGCAGGGCCCAAACACCTGGGCCATCCTCCACTGCCTTCCCGGGCCACAGCAGAGAGCTGGACTGGAAGAGGAGCAACAGGGACTAGAACCTGGTGCCCATATGGGATGCCGGTGCTGCAGGCAGAGGATTAGCCAAGTGAGCCACAGAGCCAGCCCCTCTCACAACTTCTTAATATGAGAATATAAATCTTTCTGTTTTTGTGGTATCTTTCTCATCAAAGACTTCTATCCCAGGACTACTATTATTGCTTCTCTGAAACCTACTCTTTCTCCTCTAAATACTTTATCCTTTGACCATGTCCTTGATTTCATTCAATGCATCTCAGTGTCTCCTGGACACTACTTTCCAATTTCTAAAAGTAAGAATATGCTGAAGTTCGTTTTTCATCTTTTATGAACATTCAACTCCATTTTCTAAATTTTTTTAATTTTTGTCTCATATGTATGAGATCAAACACTCAAAGCCATATTTTGGTCTTTCTTTTTCTTAACCCACCCTTTTCATTTTTTAGCTGGTTCCAAGGATTTTATTGGGTAATAACTTTTGCATCTGTTATTTTTATTTTTTAATATTGTAGCCACTGGTCTGATTCAGACTCTTCTCTTCATCTCTCATCTGAACTGTTCTGTTAGTCTTTTACCTATCCCCAAGCCATGAACCTCAAATTTTCTTTAATGGTCATACAGATCTATCTTTTCCAAGCTCTATTTGATCTTTTTTACTTTCTTTTCTTAAAACGTTTAAGGGGTCTCCATTCTCCAATAAATTGGCACTTCTAACTAATCAAGGATAGCACTTCTAACACTGATATATAATGCTCGCTATACTCTGATCATACACTACCTTCAAAAACAAAGTCTTACATTTTTATAATCCATTACAGTTTGAGAAGCATTTTATACATATTATTATATTTACTCAAATACTCATTAAATCTTATAATGTAGATATGATTGTAATATGAAAGGCCTATGTTCTTTTTTTATGAAACAAGGACATTTAATTTCAGAATATTCCAAGAATATAAAAGAAAGACAACATAATATGATTGTTTCTTTACAATTACATATATATATATATATATAGTCAAGTAAAAATGATACACAAAAAACAGTAAAACCTTTCTCTCTGAAGAAGCCTCCTTAATCTCGTTGAGTGAAGTCAGGGACAGGGCAAAGGCACCTGTGCTACGAAGGCGGGACCCGGGGAGAGGGAACAGCTTGTCCCCAACATGGCTGGGGGAGTGCTCCACAGCTCTTTGGCTCGGGCTGTGGCCGCACACACTCCGGTTTCCATGGTAACCCACAGACTGCCTTGTACTCCGCCTCCCCCAGCCTGGTTCCATCAACCACCCTGGTGGAAAGATCTCAGCAAGGCAGCCATCCACGGGGAGTTCTGGTTATGCTATTCAGCAATTTAAACACCTTGTATATCTCAGGAACCCAATCCTCCCCAGATTCTAGGGCAACCCAGCCAGATTTATCCAGGTGTAGATCTGAGCCCCATCTTCAGTAGGAAGGTGTCAGGGTAGAGCAGACAGAACGAGGCGCTCTCCCGGAGGAAGGGGAGCCACCAGCTCCCGGCATCTGTGTCAGGCCCTGCACCAAGTAAGGGGCGCAGTCCAGAGATGTCCGTGTCCAAAGATGGCTTCCCGGTTACACGTGGTCACACGGCCACTCAGTGCAGGCGTGGTCCTGACGAAGGCCTATGTTCTTAATAAATCATAAAAATTCCTACAGGGAGAAAAACTAAGAATCAAAGAGATTTGAGATTTTTACTAAGCTACATAAGAATTTCTGAGTAAGAATATAGATGGATTTTGTGAGAGGATTTTGACCTAACAATGAAAAACATCTTAGATTTTAAAATAATAATAATACTTCTAGTTATTCTTTATGAATTACAGGGTAAAGAATATCAGAAACCATGGAAATTTCTGAGTTATGAGTTAAAGTCATAGATCAGAGGATTAAACCACTGCTTACAAGGCCAGAATACCATGTGAAAATATCAATTTTAGTCTGGGCTACACTGCTTCCAACCCAGCTTCCTGCTAATGTACCTAGAAAGCCAACAGAAGATGGTGGTGCAAGTATCTGGGCTCTTGTCTCCCATAAGGGAGATCAGGATTGCTTTCCTGGATCCTGAATCCTGGCTTCAGCCTGGCGCAGGCCAGGCAGTTGCAGACATTTGGTTAGTGAACCAATGAAAGATTTCTTTCTCTGTCTCTCCCCCTCTCTGTGTATCACTCTGTCTTTCAAATAAATAAAGTAATGAATCATTTTTAAAATAATACATGAAAAGAAATTAATTGAAAGGAAATTAAAGTTAGCAAATCTGGATTTAAGTTTTGACTCCCTAATAATTTTCTACATTAGTCCACTAACAATGTTATGCTTTGTTATATTTATCTGTAGGACAGTCTTGTAATTCATGACACATATTGGCTTCACAAGGAAATTATGAAAAGTAATGAAATTATATCCATTGTAAGTATTCAATTCAAATCATATACTTATCTTCTTTCATTTGAAACATCAAAGCTTTTTTGATAATCATTAGGTGCCTGTATTATTCCTACTTCTACAGATAAGCAATTGTAAGACAAGTACCTTCTTCAAGGTCATATACAATGTCATTCATCATCAGATAAAAACTTGGAACTGTCTCAGCTCACACACTTGGGTAACATTTTCATTTCAAAGTAACCCACATAACACCTTTAGTTAAGGAAAGAGAGAATTTCATAATATCAATTCACAGGTTATGTTCCCAAATAAAGCATATATACTTTTATATGGTTAAAGAAGACAGAGTCAATAGATCAAAACATCCAATTTTTAAGGTAATTATAAGAAATTTTTGGACTTTCCATTGAAATTAGACCTTTTAGGGCACACATCTTCATTTCCCACTATTCACTATGAGAAGGAGGGAAGGAAGGAAAGGAGAGAGGGAGAGGAGAGAAAGCACTAGAAACTTGATGAATAATTGCCACAGTGACAAACAATATGCCGGCATCACCTCATTGCTACAATGAGAAGAGGGTTGCATTCTCTGTTTTGTGGTCAGTCAGGCAAAAGAGTTTTGAAGCAGCAGTGAAAGTCACTACAGCTATTCTATTCATAATCAATGATCAGGTTCCAGTCAAACACTCCATAAAACTTCTTCAGCTCAGAAAAAGAGCCGAGAAAAATTACTCCCCAGAGATTTTCTACTGATAACGTAGAAGCAGTGCAAGAAACTATACCTGTGTCCTCCAGGTATTTCTGACCAGTGGTTCATGTGACACTGAAGATGGCAGTCAAAAATTTATATTGTGTTCCAAACTATTTTGAACATTTTTAGTTCTTTCAGCCTAAAGACATACTGTTTATAAAGACTCACACTGGCTTTCAATAGTCAAATTTAAGAAAAACAAAACTGCCTTAAAGCAGAAGGAAAACCAAATTTAAAATGAATAGACAATGAATTTCACATGAAATTAAGATGGCAAAGACCTGCTGTGACAAGAGGAATACACATCATTCACTGAGCTATGTGCTTGCATTGGGCTTACTGCTGGGTATTACTGATTGTATTCAACATGCAGGTCTATGCTTGATGATCCCATTCAGACCAATCACATGTTACTTCACTTCTATTTTTTTTAAAGATTTATCTATTTATTTGAAAGTCAGAGTTACACAGAGATAGGGGAGGCAAAGAGAGAGAGAGAGGTCTTCCTTTCAATGGTTCACTCCCCAATTGGCAGCAACAGCCGGAGCTGTGCCAATCCGAAGCCAGGAGCCAGGAACTTCTTACAGGTCTCCCAAGTGTTCCTAAATAAAGCATATATACTTTAGGACTTGGGCCATCCTCCACTGCTTTCCCAGGCCACAGCAGAGAGTTGGATCGGAAGTGGAGCAGCCCGGTCTCCAACTGGCGCCCATATGGGGTGCCTGCGCTTCAGGCCAGGACTTTAACCCACTGCGCCACAGTGCCATCCCCACACTTCAATCTATTAAGATAGAGAAAATACTCACTTATAGAACAGCTCCTGGTACTTAGTAAACATTTAAGTCTAGGTCTTCTCCATCCCCCTCAGTTTTACTCTTTGTATCAATGGTTAATAACTTTCTGATTACCACATACAGACTTGAAGGCAGAATAAGTAATCCTTATCTCCCATCTTTTCTCCCATGCTTTGCTTCTCACCTATTAGGCAGTCTACCATCATTTTGAATGAGATATGTTTCAAAGTGTTTTCTTTCTGGTTAGCTGAAAATGAGGTAACTACTTTACTAAATATGTATCTTTTAACTTAAATATATGTTGTACAACTTAGATATGTACAATAAAATTTATTGTAAAAGAAAAGAAAATAGGAATATCGATTATACAGAGTGCCTCAGGCAGAGTAATTCACACAGAAATTTTTTACGAGATCTAGAAATTAGAGGAAACATAATTCTGCTTCTGAAGAATCTTACAATCTTTCTATTGTAAAAAAACTATCTTGTTGCCCAATTTAAGATATGGTGCTGCCAACACTTACAGTTTTTACAGTTACAGTGCTTATTTTTAAGAATGAGACTCATTCTGGTAGAAACATTATTCCAGTTTGACACAATAGCTAACAAGACTTCTGTCCAACTATGATATTCTTTGCCCAGTTGAAAAAAAATATGTTTACATTCAACATGGTCTCTGGTTTTCACAGCTACCACACAGACTCAGAATGCATTTTCCATTACAACTCTCTATTCCCTGAAGTCTTTCTGCTAAGAGAAGCTGGAGCCATGTATAAAGACTTCAGCTTTTGGTACATGGGTTTCTCACCTTTTCATTATAGAGTTATATTTAAAACATATCAGCATCCACCATACAGATATGGCTGGGATTAGATGTTTCACAAAGCCTAACCACTCCTGTGTACTAATAGATCATAGTATTATTTGATGAAGTATGAACCTGTTTCAGCAATTAGTCTGAACTTTCCCATCAATCCAAACACTCAGAATCTTTTATTAAAAATGAACATATTTGGCAGCGCCACGGCTCAATAGGCTAATCCTTCGCCTGCGGCACCAGCACCCCAGGGTTCTAGTCCTGGTTGGGCCACCGGATTCTGTCCTGGTTGCTCCTCTTCCAGTCTAGCTCTCTGCTATGGCCCGGGAGTGCAGTGGAGGATGGCCCAAGTGCCTGGGCCCTGCACCCGCATGGGAGACCAGGAGAAGCACCTGGCTCCTGGCTTTGGATCAGCGCGGTGCGCCGGCTGCAGCGCCCAGCCACAGCGGCCATTGCAGGGTGAACCAATGGAAAAAGGAAGACATTTCTCTCTGTCTCTCTCTCTCATTGTCCACTCTGCCCGTCAAAAAAAAATGAACATAATTATTATTTAATTAATGTGCACAGGTCGTGTAACACATGTATGATCTTTCTTGATTTATTTTGCTATTGTAAAATCAGATATATTGGAAAATATTAGGGGGCCTGCACTGTGGCGCAGCGGGTTAATGCCCTGGCCTGAAGTGCCAGCATCCCCTATGGGCACCTGTTAGAGACCTAGCTGCTCTATTTCCGATCCAGCTCTCTGCTATGGCCTGGGAAAGCAGTAGAAGATGGCCCAAGTTCTTGTGCCCCTACTCCCACATGGGAGACCTGGAGGAGGCTCCTGGCTCCTGGCTTCAGATCATCGCAGCCCCGACCGTTGTGGCTGATTGGGGATTGAACCAGCAGATGGAAGACCTGTCTCTCTCTCTGCCTCACCTCTCTCTGTATAACTCTGACTTTCAAATAAATAAATAAATCTTTTAAAAGAAGAAAATATTAGAACCTTTTTCTAATTCAGTGCATTTTAAAAGGTGTGAACTATGTCGCTAATAGTTAAGAAACACGGAATTTTAAAATGGTTATCAATAGAGATATTAGGTAGTTAAAAAAAAAAAACAGTGTGTTAAAAACCAATCTACATACATAGATAGGCCATCAGAAGGATTAATGTGGCAGAATGTCCTTCTGGCAAGGAATCAACAGCTAGGTGGTTAAAGGCAGGTCCTTGTGTGCTTCAATGTCACTGCAAAGATGCTGAGATACGCAGATGTCAGTGGCATTATGGAATTGTGTGTTTTTCTAGCTCAAGTGCCATGTACATTCTCAACTGGCTGGGGGTCAGCACAGAGCAAAATGCTTACCCACTATATTTTTGATAAAACATAGAAGTGGGAAGAGTAAAAGAGATTGTGAGCTTAGCTGATGTAATGGAATACTAAAGTAAAATGATAAATGCAAAAGCAAGTTCTGT